ACTATATAGGTAAAATGCAAGGATTCCAATGAATCTCAATTCGAAAAAAGTGTGGAAGAGAAGAGAACTCCCGCCCTCGATTTAGGTTGCTTTGCAATGTAAACATTCAAGATGCCGATACACGGGTCCTCTTTTTTCAGCTCTACTTTCATAATTTACTGGATTTTCTACGTAATTATTGAAAAAAAAAATAGAATTTTGTCGTACAGTGTTATTAGTTTTTTGGTGAATAATTTTTAATTCTTCCAAAACGCACGACTTTTACCCTCTTGGTCCTTGCAAAATATTGACTTTTAATATGTACGATTTTTAGTCTTTTGGCTCTTGCAAAATATTTTTTTTAAATTTCACGTTCATTAATGTATTGGCCCTAGAAAAATATTCCTTTAAAAAATCCACAATTATTAATTTATTAAGCCTTCATAAATATTTTTTAAAAAATCCATGATTATTAATCTATTGCAAAATATTCATTATAAATCCACGATTATTAATCTGTTGGTCCTTAAAATTATTATTTAAAAAATCCACGATTATTAATCTATTGACCCTTGAAAAATATTTATTAAAATATTCCAATCAAAAGAATCCTTGTGTGTTTTTTGCAATATTGTCTATGACGCAATATACGTAATATCAACGGATTCCAAGGTATTTTAATCAGAAGATTTCAAAAAATGTGGGTTGATCTTGCTCCCCTCTATTTAGGTTACTTTGGAAACTTCCAAAGCGACGATACAAGTGGCTTGTGTTTTAAGCTCTACTTTCATAATCTGCTGGATTTTCCCGTAATTATGGAAAATTGTAATTTGTAACGCAGTATAATATAATCCTTCCTTTCTTTTGTAGTAAAACACAATTCAAACAAAATTCAAATATTTTTTTATGAAATACTTTTTAAAGGATTTTTCTTGTTCTTTTTATTTAGCAATAAAATTATAGAGCTTACATATGATTGTTGTTATTATTATAATTAATAATAATAATAATAGTAATAGTATTTATAATTATTGTTTATATGCTAAAATACATACAGATTTCGTGTTGTTTTTCTTCTCGTTTATATATTAAAATATATAACTAAATATTAAGGTAACTTTATAACATATATGTATGTATATGTATTTGTAGATATACTTGTGTTTTATTTTAGCAATTCTATATGTATGTATAGATGTATTTATAATTTATGTTGTTTATTTTCTATGTAAAGTTATGTTTATATATAAAAAGGAGTTTTAAAAACAAGTGATTAATTAAAAATTCATAATTCATTATTATTAGCATTAGCATTATACAGGCATACCCCATGAGGTGTATGTTTTTAAAGTATTGTATATATGTTTGTATGTGTTTAATTAAATTATTATAAATCATTTAATGCTTTTATTTGTGTTGTTTGTTTATTATCTCTAATAATATGTATTTTAAATTATTATTAATAGTTAATTACTATTTATTATTTTTTGTTGTTTTTTATTTTTCTTTATTTTATTTTTATTTTGTATCTGTGTGTGTGTCTAATCTTTATTATAGTATATGTGAATACATACAAAACCAGGTATGTTTAAAAAAATATTAATACAATTTTAAAATATTTTTCTTTTTACAAAATAAAACGGGAAATAAATTATGTATAAAAAATGTTTGTTTTTTTTTAATAAAAAAAATACATTTGAAATGTCAACAGTACTTGGTACTGTTTGCAACTCATATCAAGTATACAATATGTAGGGGGTGGGGTTTCTTTTTATATAAATTATATATTTTTTAATAAAATATACATACATAAATATAAAAAAGGGGGATTTACAAGTTCAAGCTTAATAGTTTCCTTCTTTTTTTTCAAATATATATATAAATAGAAATGAGTACATGAAAGTAAAACATATAAAGAGAGAGAGTCTTAAGAACTTACATTACATTATAAATTATAAAAGAAAATCAAATGATCTAAGTAAAAGTGGAAGAGTTAGCTTAGAATAAATTATTTATATTGAAGTTAAAGTTTAAGAGTTGATTTAAGGGAAATTTTCGTTTTTTCCTTTAAATTAATTCTTAGAAATTCTTTCGAATTTTATTCCCACCAGGAGAATATTTAAGAACCACAAGAAAGATTTCTAAAACTACAAAGCCCATACTGGGACAAATAATTTCTGGTAGATAATGTAAATCGAATCGATGAAATTCGTTCATTTGCTTTTGAACTTAGCAACACATTCATTTACATTTTATAATTTCATTTCGAAATATTGTTAAATTGACAGCAAATTTATTTAAATTTTAAAAGTACATTTCCAAACATCCACGGCTAGTTTCTCTAGGACCATACCTATGTGAATGCGAAAGAAAAACATCATTCCAAAAAAGTTTTTTAAAATTTTAATTTTGAAATGATATTTTTCGCTGGCATTCATTTTCATATCAATTTTTCACAATCTATATAGAGACTATAAAATTCCAATTGTTCGAAAAAAGAGGGATAAGAGCGTTTTTCTCATTCCTACATTCTCTTGTTCTTCAATATTGAAAATCGTAACTACAGGAGGTGAGTTGAATAAAATCAAATATTGTTCATAATTTATATGTAGATAATGAATTTATATTTTCGAAAGAATATTTGGTAGTTTTATTCTGCAAAACAATTGAAGACAACGATCTTAATTGTACCATTTATCAAAATGTGTTTTTTCCCTTTCCTTCACCACCTTAACCTTGGACTTACATATGGTCTACCATAGCAAGCTTTTATCTTCAATATGAAATCGATTTACATCAGATACCAGAATTTATGGAAAATTTATTAGAAACGCGATTATAGTCATATTTATATTAAAACGATATTTAGAACCTCAAAAGTTAAAACAATATCAAAAAAAAAACAGAACTTGAGACTTTTATAAGTTGTAATTTTTTTAAATTGCAGATCTTTGGCAATGCATAAAAAAGTATCTTTTTTATTTTCTTGCGGAATCCTCCAATAAAAAATTTTCAGAATTTCCTTAAAATAAACTGAGATGTTGCTAGCCTGCATGAACTTTCTAGAAAGCCTGAAAAACCTAGATTTTAAAACAGGTTCTGGTATTCTTCTTTTCCAGGTTGATAAGACTTCATTTTTATGGAAATCGGGGAGCTATTTAAAAAAAATATTTCCAAAAACGACTTCGATCTATTATGCCTTTTACAACTTATAATAATGTCAAGTTTTTCTTGTTATTTTTTATAGAAAATATCATTAATTTCTTTGAGAAACTCTACAAAAGAATACAATTTTTTGAATAGAAAACGAAAAGGATTTTTTTTTTTTAAAGTCTTCATAAAATACCAGTTTCCTGAAAGAACTCTCTCGGGTGCAATTAGAAGTGCCAGAGAAGAAAACAGGGTTTGTGGGCAAAGTGCAAGAGAAGGGAGAAAGTTCGATTAATCGAGTTCTCAGCGGATTTTTTCAATGGGACTGGGTGTAGGGTCTCGATGCAATATGGTTAAAAGCGGTGTCAATGATATAGTCTATTATAGACTTTAAGAACATGAAACGGACTTGCCAACATTTGAGGCTACAAGGGAAGTAATTAAGGCTAGTGGAAAGCCAGAGCCGCAAATCTTTGAAATCTATGTCGTTTTCCAACTTCCTCATCAATCTTTGATGGATAAACGAAATAAATCGCGTGTTCTTTGAGATAAACCAATTTTTCATTACTGCCACGATTCACAAAAATGTAAAATATAATGTTTCTCAAAGTCGAGCAAAACAAATATAAATTAGATTTTTGTTGTTGTTGTTCTTGCTCGAGTTGGAGAAACATTTTAAAAAAAATACTTTTATACACAAAACCTGGTCCGGTCATACTAACTTTTTAATGAATGAGGAAAACAAGTTAATGGGGTTATAAAGTCTTTCTTTAAAAATGGCGAGTAATTCAGGACCATATAGATATGAAGGGCCTCTTATTATAAAACATTATTATTTCCTTAGAAAAAAAAAAATGAAAAATCCAATACAAATTATATTCGTTTAAAAAAAATTTTGAAAATTGCTAAAAAGGAGGAAAATGAATTATTTTCAAAAAAAAGACATTTTACAGACCATATGATTATAAAAACTTCTTGTCGCATTAGGAAGCCCACTCTAAGTTTTCCACATCCAAAAAGCAAATTTAACTAAAATCCAAAACAAACTACAAAAGTTTTTCAAGTAGAAAATTGATTATTTTAAAATAAACCCTTTTTAAGACTTCTTTCCCTTCGAATACCTCATTGTCCCCTTTGAAACCCCATCTTTATTTTCCATATAAAAATAAAAAATGATTACAAACTTTTTAAATCCAATACAAATTGTACTCGTTTAATGCTCTCAAAGCCAAGCTAAAAAAATGCAGTTCCAAATGTATGTTTAAGCTCGAGTTGGAGAGTCTTGTTCAGTCATACTTAATTTTTAATGGAGAAAGAAAACATAAAGTTAAAAGTTCCCATCGATCCCATGTGTACAAAAAGTTATTGCGACTGGAGAACCAATTTTTCTCAGTGGGAAAACCATTAATTAATTATTTAAAATGGGCATTTTACAGATCATATTCGTTAAAAAATAATATTTCTCCAAATTCGAGCTAAACAATTCTGTTCTGAAATTGTACAGTTTTTGTTTAAGCTCAAGATGGAGAATCTGGTTCGATTGTCGTACTGAATTTTTAGTAGAGGAAAAAACGTTAGGAAGGAGAATATGTGTTTGAAATATAACTTTTTACAGACACTATAGTTATGAATGAATTCTCTCATTTAGAAAACCTCATTGTCCCTTAGAAAGAAATTCCTTCTTCGTTTTCCCTAACAAAAAAAGGAAATTTACAAAATTTTTAAATTCCAATACATAGTGTATTCATAAGCTACTAAAATACAAAAAAAAATATATAAATGTTAAACAATTTCAAATTGTTTTCTATTTTGTGGTTTGTTTCTCTTACGTTGCTAAAAGGATTTTTGATATTCTACAATGGGTGATATTGTGTTTTCATTTTTCTGTTACATTTTCTGCATTGAAATATGTATTGTATTTCAAATTTTATCATCTACTTCTTCTTCCTCTTCTTTTTCATCTACATTTTAGCCTATTAAAAATCTAAGTAGAGTTGTTTGTTGGAAGGTGGTTGATGATGTGGGGGGGAGGGAAAAATTATATATGCATGGAGTGGTGGTGGTAGCAGGAAGACCCCCACCGCTTACCCAGCACGCACCATTACTGCTCTACATACATGGCAATTTATACACCTAACCTTGTTCAGCTCTCCTCGGGAGAGCCCAAACTTTTCTGTTGACGTTGTGATTGTTGCGTTTCATAGTTTTCTGCAGCCGAATTGCTGTTGTGATATATTTTTTGCCTTTTAACCACAGCTGATGATGCGGTCGATGAACTTGTACTCGAAGCCGATGGCGACGATGAGGGAGTGTTATACTATTGGGTTTTATCCTTGCCAGCCCCACCCCCACCGGCTGTGACACTGAGACCCAACAGATGATCACCGGCCAGCAGACCTGCTGCGGCCGCCCCCGGTTGATGGGCATAGTTGCGTATCTGATGCAATGATATTAGCTGTGTGGGAAAGCCTGCTGCTGCAGCGGCATTTTGTTGATAGATATAGGCAGCAGTTGGTGGGGCGGCTCTCTGTTGGGCCAAGGCGGCTGCCTGCAGATGGGTCGGTGCCGTGGGAATGGGGGTAAAAGCCGATGTGGTCTTGACATCATAGGGGGATGAGTTCACCACTACCATGTTGTTGGGAGAGTGGGATTGTTGCTGTTGTTGTTGCTGATGATGTTGCTGCTGTTGTTGTTGCGATGTTTGACGTATCACCAAATCCTCACCCTGTTCGATGGGACTTTGCGAATGATTGGGGGTGTTGCCACTGTTTGCACTGTCACCACCACCGCCGCCGCCTCCGGCTCCTCCACCACTCGCACCATTGGCATTGCCATTAACCAAACGTTGATGATGTTGTAGCAATTCCTGCTGCTGTTGTTGCTGTTGATGTTGTAGCGTTGAGAAGTTATAGCCATTTTGTGTCTGTTGCTGTTGGGCCTGGGCCTGTTGCTGCTGTTGAATGGCTTCCGCCAAGGTGGCAGCATTGACCGCTCCATCTGCACTAACCTTGGCCCAATAGGCGGCATTGGCATCTCCTGCGGCGGCGGCATTCATGACCACTTGCCGCTGCAGACTCAGGCCAATACCGCCAGCCGGTACATGATGCTGGACATTGAGATTGGCATGACGCTGCTGTTGCTTCTCCGCCTTTTCGGCATGCTTCTGCAAATGCTTTTCCAAATACGTTTCCTGGGTGTACGATTTACCGCACAAATTACAGATATGGGTCTTCAGATGTTTCGAATCCTTGTGTTTGGGTATGTGTTCGAGCAGGGTCATTTCGTCGGTGAAACACTTGTAACAGGAATTACATTTATAGGGTTTGTCCGTTTGATGGCAACGCGAATGCGACTGCAGATTGGAGAGTTGCGAGAAGGCTTTGGGACAACCGGCATGGCGACATTTGTAGGGCTTGTCGCCCGTATGGGTACGTATGTGCTGTTGCAGATGTGATAGCTGGGTGAATTTACGCTGACAGATTTCACAGCGATAGGGTTTAATGCCCAAATGGATGCGTGTGTGCTGGGAGAGGTACGATGAGTTGGCAAACGATTTGGTACATTGGGTACATTTGTAGGGTTTGGTCTCTCGACCATCCGCCGCTGAGGTATGATGATGTGATCGATGTGATTTCTGTGTGGTTGTCTGTTGCGGTTGTTGTTGCTGCTGGTGATGATGTTCCAGCGCAGCATTGGGATCGTACTGAAATGAGAAAACAAGAGAGAAGAGGAATGGAAGTTAGTGAGGATGTTTAAATGAAGTACCTCAAAGGAAGTTTTGTAAAAAAAGAAATCGGAAATGTACTTCTCTTTCCGAGAATCTATGGTTTTGAAAATTAGGGCCGGTTTCTCTTTGAGGTTACGAAATGTATGAATGCGAACGAAAAGCTGAATTCCAAAGAAGTTTTAAAATGTTGGATTTTCTGAGTGTTTCTTTGGAAGGGAGACACTTTCATAGAAACCGGCCCTCATTATAATTTTTGAGGTACATTTTCGTTAATAATTTTTTAACTTTTTTGAATTTTCTTCTTTCTGTTGTCGTTTTTTATCATTCTCCACCAATACATACCTTTTGTTCCGGCTGTTCGGTCATATTCGGTGTGGGCGGTGAATTTGGCGGACTGTAAGATTGTTTCAGCTGTTGTTGTTGCAGATGCTGTTGTTGCTGCTGCTGTTGTTGTTGCTGCTGTTCGTGAGCCTGCTGTTGCTGCTGTTGTTGATGTTCGGCTACCAATTGCTGTTGTTGCTGCTGCTGTTGTTGTTGCTGCTGCAGATTAACACCAACCAAACCATTTTTCAATGAATAATCCAAACGTTCAACATTCTGTCGAAACTCATTGATATTAAATGGTTTATTGTATTCATGCACCAATTGGGCCGTACGCAAGTCAGCTGTAGTCAAATGACTCAGTGACGATAAGACGCTGCGATCATTCATTGAACGTAATTGATCGATTGTCGGTCGTCGATGATGTAAGTTGTGCAGATTGTTGGCAGTCACACCTCCTCCAATGGCTCCGGCTCCACCCGCGGCAGCGGCTGCTGCAGCTGACTGATGATGCTGATGATAGACGTTTGATGAGGCAGCTGCTAAGGCCGTTAAGGCTGATATATCAGCCATAAAAGGAAGTGATTTTTCAATTTTACGTTAAAATTTCTCGTTATAGGCTGGCTGGTTGGTTGGCTACACAATAATATCAACTTTGCATTGAGTTTCTGGCAACGTACGCTTTCAATGATTTCCGGATAAAAACTAACTGGCCACCAGCTTGGTAAAAATTTACCAACTATGCAAAGAACGGGAATCTGAAAAAAGAATAAAGAAAAAAAAAAACGTTAAAACGAATTTTCATTCATAAAAATTATTGCGTATTTTTTGTTGACCAAGCATCGTCACCAATAACCCTCCAAAATATGGCCAAAATGCACATTATGCGTAATACTTTCAATGTACATTGCGAGTTCGCATTATGTACTTGGTATTTACGTAAAAGTGGACTATGTACTTAATAATAAAAAAAATACAGTGGGGTATAATATTTTAAATGCAAAAAATGGATTCATTGAATGTAAAGCCATTTTTTATAAACCCAAATTGAGGCAAATTTTCCTCTGGTTTATATTAAGTTTACGCACTTCTTTTGTTCCGGGACTCATAATGAAATTTCGTCTAGAATATTTCATCCTTTAATACAATGCTCAAAAAATGCATTATTAAGGGAGATTTTGACTCAGTTAAAAACCCCGTCAAATTAACAGTCACAAAACGTAAACATACAATTTCAAATTTTTATATAAAAATTTGAACTGGAATTTTTCATTGAAACTATTAAACCTAGACTTATTGTTTATTCAGAGACTTATAGTGAAATTTTGTGTAGAATATTTTCTCTTTCAACACTTTTTGTCAAAAACGAAGTGTTATGTAACTTTCATGCCTCACATCGCAAGACCAAAGAAAAAATCGATGAAAAAAGTGGGCAATATTTTCGCGCTATTTCTGCAAAATTGAAACAAATATTTTCCTGATATGCAATGGAAATAGAGATTTATTTCCTTTGGTGACTTAGAGTGAAATTTGATGCAGAGCATTTTTGTCTTTGAGGTCATCCTTCTAAAATGATGTTTTGTAGGAGAATTTAACATAAATTCATAAGAAATAAAACGTGCTTTAATACTCAAAAACGGTTTTTTACACCAGAATTTATGGTAGTTTCTTATGGTACTTATTAAGTTTACAAATTTCCTTTGTTGCAGAACTCGTAATGAAATTTGATCTAGAATATTTCTTCCTCTGACACTTCCCCAAAAATGTTAAGTATTATGGGAGATATTTAGTCAGTTTTGCAACGTGTAAAATTAACACGTCAAAAACGTAAACATATAATTTCCTCTTTTAGTGTTCAAATTTCGAATGCAATTTCCTTAAATACTATTATGCCTAGACTTGTGGTTTCTTCTAAGACTTATAGTGAAATTTGTTGTAGAATATTTCCTCTTTTGATACTTTCTGTCAAAAACGAAGTTTTATGTCACTTTCATGCCTCAAATCGAAAGACCAATCTATGAAAAGAGTGGAAGATATTTTCATTGTTTTTTTTTTTTTTTTTGCAAAATTAAAGCATATATTTTCCTGATATGCAATGGAAATAGAGATTTCTTTTCTTTGGAGATTTATAGTGAAATTTAGTGTAGAATATTTCCTCTTTTGAAACTTTCTGTCAAAAATGAAGTTTTATGTAACTTTTATGCCTCAATCCGAAAAATCAAAGAAAAGTCTATAAAAAAGCGGGAAATATTTTCCTGCTTTATCTGCTTTGAAACAAGTATTTTCCTGATATTCAATGGGAATAGAGATTTATTTTCTTTGGTGACTTAGAGTGAAATTTGATGTAAAGTATTGTTGTCTTTCAGGCCATCCTTCTAAAATTACGTTTTGTAGGAAAACTTAACATAAATTCATATGGAGTAAAATGTGAAATAATATCTAAAAAATATTCATTTATTAACAAAAATTGATGATATTTTATTGTCGTAAGTATTCGGTTTTCAAATTTCCTTTGTTCCGGAACTCATAATGAAATTTGATCTAGAATACTTCTTTCTTTGAGACATTCCCCAAAAAATTATACTTAAGGAAGATTTTGACTCAGTTTTGAAACGCATTCAATTAATAGTAGAAAACGCAAACATAATAATTTCCTCTTTTAGTGTACAAATTTCGAATGCAATTTTCTTAAAAATTAGTAAACCTAGATATATATTTTGTTCTGAGACTTATAGTGAAATTTGATGTACAATATTTTCTCCTTTGACACTTTTTGTCTAAAACTACATTTTACTTTCATGCGTCAACTCAAAAGACCAAAAAAATCGATAAAAAAAAGTTGGGAAATATTGTCGTGCTTTTTTGGCAAATTTGAAACAAATACTTTCCAGATATATATTTAAAATAGATATTTCTTGCCTTTGGTGATCTACAGTGAAATTCGATGTAGAGTATTTTTGCCTTTGACTCCATCCTTCTAAAATGATGTTTTATTTGAGAATTTAACATAGATGCATACGGACTAAAATGTGATATAATATCTAAAAAGAATGCATTTATTAACCAGAATTCATGATATTTTTTGTTGTAGGTATTAGGTTTCCATACTTCTTTTGCTCCGGGACTCATAATGAAATTTGATCTAGAATATTTCTTCCTTTGACACATTTCCCAAAAACTTAATTCTTAAGGGAGATTTTGACTTAGATTGGCAACGTATTCAATCAAAAGTCAAAAACGCAAACATATAATTTCCACTTTTTTATATAAAATTTCGAATGCAATTTTCTTAAAAACTATTATGCCTAGACATGTGGTTTATTCTAATACTTCTAGTGAAATTTAGTGCAGAAAATTTCCTCCTTTAACGCTTTCTGCCAAAAACTAAGATTTATATTACTTTCAAGTATCAACTCCCACCAACAAATACCAAAGAAAATGCATCAAGAAAAGCAGAAAATATGAACATTTGACTACTGAAATTGTTACCGAAACCTTAAATCCTCAAAGACGTGGGACTTTAGGATTAACCGAGAAATTTAAATCCCAGCATTTTTATTTAAGAAATTTGGAAAAAAAATCGACACTTTTCCACCCCACTGTACTCATCAAGTGCAATTTCTTGCACCAGAAAGTAGTACTTTTTTATATAGGAAATGTTGTTTTATACCAAAAAAATTGTCTTGAAAGCATGTAACAAAAAACAGCCAACAAACAGAACACCAAAAAAATTAACTGTACCCCGGTAAATTATTTAAATCCATATTCAGCACAAAAACTCACATTTAAGGGAACTTATTGCTAAACGTTTCGCTTCGTCATTACTAAGCAAAAAATTGGTATTTTAAATTTAAATTGAATTCCAACTTCAGTGGCTGGCGCACTGTGCCAAAAACAAAAATTGTTGCAATTTCCGACAGTAAAAAAGCAACCGAAAAATTATAAACATACATTTCAGCATATTTTATCATATTTTTTTGTCGACTGCAACCATCTGAATTGCCAAAAAAAAGAATAAGCGCCAATGAAAGTTTGTTTTTTTTGGTGGTTCAATATCAAGTCCAAAAAATATATGAAAATTAATAGCTTGTTTTAGAGGGGGTATTTCAAGATTAAGATTTTACACTGGTTTACAGCATACTTCTTCAACTTGTAAAGAGTTTTCTTTAAGAACTATTTCTATACCCTCCATACTATGTATGGTGGAGGGTATAAAAATCACAATATTAAACATTCTTCCTAAAATTAAATAGGTTGGTAGGAGTCCAAACCCACCAACAAAACTTGCAAATTTTTTACAAATCATTTCACCGCCATGGTTGACCACAAGCACACATGTCTGTCTATCTACAGTGGTGGCCATATCATATGCAACTGAAATCTAACCTTTACCAAAAACCGTGAAAAATTTTTCTGAAAACAAAATTATGCAATTATTTTTTTAAATATTATTTTTTATTGCTTGTAGTTTAAGAAAAAAAACATATACTCCATAGATATTCAATTCATTTATAAAAAAAATTAGAAAAAGATATTCAGTCTTATTATTAAGTGGCCAAAACATATGCAACTAATTAAATCGAGCTCAGTAAAGTGCAAATAAAATTAATATTTTGTTGCAAATCCGTTGTTGTCGATTACAGCCTGACATCTTCGAGGCATTGACGCTATAAGATTGTCAATGACGCTTTTTGGGATTGATTTCCAGGCATCTTCCAGCCGGCAAAATAAAAAATCTAAACTTGTACAATTTTCTCGATCAATTTTTTTTGTTTACGATTTCCCACAGATTCTCTATTGGGTTTAAATCTGGGGATTGGGGTGGCCATTCCATCACCGCAACTCTATTATCGGCAAACCACGATTTGACCACCTGCGAAGCGTGTTTGGGGTCGTTGTCCTGTTGAAAGACCCACCGCAATGACATATTATATTCTGCGTATGGGAGCATTACCCTTTGCAATATGTCTTTATACATAAATCTATCCATAATACCAACAATTCTGTGCAGTGGGCCAACTCCGGCACCAGAAAAACAACCCCACACCATTATATTGCCCCCCCCCCCATGCTTGACCGTTTTTTTACAGTAACGTGCTTCGAGTCGTTTTCCTTCTGGTCGCCTTACATAGCACATGCCATCGCTACCAATTATGTTAAATTTGGACTCATCACTAAATAATATAGTTCTCCATTTACTCTCTGTCCAATTTATATGAGCTTTAGCTAATTCCAAACGCTTCTTCTGGTTTCGCTTCGATATCAGTGGTTTTTTTGCAGGACGTCTTGCGCAGAGGGAGGCTTGTAAAAGTCTTCTACGGATGGTGCGAGCAGAAACTGGCAACTGAAATCTTTCCACTATCTTAGAGGAAGATATAAATGGGTCTTTTTTCACGTGTCTGATTATTAATTTGTCCGTCCGATCGCTTGTTTTTCGATTTCGACCACCACGGTGTATAACAGAGACTTGTGAATTTTTTTTGTAATTATTAATGATGCGCGATATGGAGCTTTTATGAACGGTATATTTCTCGGCAATACATTTCTGTGATAATCCAGAAGGATACGCAGTCACAATTCGTTGTCTGAGCTCAAATCCAAATTTATCGCGTGCCATTTTTGAACAAACTCTGTTTTAGCTTTGTGAAAAAACAACGCAATAAAAATGTGAAGGTAGCTTTAAATCTCTTTACGCAGTGTCTCTAGATAATAATAAGAAGAACAATAGAACAAAGGAAATTGTAAAAATGCCGTTATT